CAATTTCAAAGGTGTGGAGTTCGAATTCACCAGATGCTTTCCTGGAAGAAGGGCAATCTCCTCCTGTGCCAGTCAGATCCAGTTCTATGATACACAAGGAAAAGAAATAAATATGTAAAAAAGAAAAAGCTATGTTATAAAAAATACCTGTTAATAAAAAAATACTGCAGATAGCAAGTGCATCGATGTTGTATCCTATCTCCATATTTATTCAATCTGAGGAAATAGTTCAAGAAACTGAACTATGTGAAGAAGAATGTGGCACAGATTGGAGGAATACTCATCAATCACCTGCATTATTCAGATAACACACCCTCTCGTAAAAAAGTGAGGAAGATCTGAAGCACTTAATGTAGAAAATAAAAATAAAAAACAACGTCAAATCTACAGCTTTCAATATGGGCTACACCTCAAGTAAAGGGGAAAAATCCTCATAATTGGATCAATAAACAAAAGCATGGTAAATAGAGAAAAGATTGAAGTTGTCACCTTCATTTTTATTTAATTTTACTTGGTTCCACTATCAACACTCATGATAACATCAGTCAAGAACTTAAAAGATATGCTGCTTTGGGGAAACTGACCGTCAAGGACCTCACAATATAGCCATGTAAAATACAAATTAATAACTTTTAAAGAGTTTTTTGTTGTGAGTTAACATCAAAATGACTACAACTCTTAGCAGCCATTTGAACAACAGGTCTAAACCATGCCATATCCTGTGCAGGCCTCACCATTTCTAATATGCTCAAGTCTATTGTAACTCTCAAGAAAGCCAGCTGACTGTGCTTTATTCTCTGCTTTCAGCCACCTGGTCAAGCCAGAGTGCTGCTTGGAAGGAAGGATTACTACATGTAAAATGTTACTGGAGTATATTATTTCATCTTGGCATGGAATTGTCACAGTTCAATGGAGACAGAGTTGGTATCTTTCCTCCCTTCCTCCCCACTACCACCACAACCACCACTTTGTAGTTCTTAACTACGTTAGTTAATAAGCATCATTATATCGCATAGTTTTCATGATATTGAATAGATTCCTTCTTTTTCTTCCTTTTCTTTAATTGTCCCTTCCTTCTTGTCACTTGGGAATATGTAGAATGTCCTAGACAATTAGCAGGCACACCAAGACAATTTTTTTTTAATTTCTCTCAGATGATTTGAGTATAACTAGTGAAAAATAGGTTAATTCCTCAGGGAGCATCATAGATAATATATTCATCCTATGTTAGAAAACAAAAGAATCCGTTTAGAAAAGAAAATCTTACTCTTTACTCAAGGTAAGTGCACAAAATCACCTTTGATCCTGATTAGTAAGTGGATTTTTGTTACTTATCATCTCTTCTTATTTTTTTTTTTTACTACAAAGAAGCATTGTGGTCACCAAGAATTAGTACCTTCACCTAAGACTTTATGAAGTTATAGGGTGTTGATTGAACACTAAATGCCTTAGCTTAGGAATTGATTAAAGATCATACTTGGTTCCTGTGGACTTATTTTAAGTTTCTTCAGCCTCAATTTGAACTTGCATATGAGTAACTGCTGATCTGCCCCACAGTCTGCCCCTGGTCTTTTTTGACTGCTGATATTGAGCTTCTCCAATGATTTATTCCACAAATGTAGTACATCTGATTCCTATGCAGTCAGGAAATCAAAAGATGAATTAGGGAAATCTGCTGTTATGGACCTCTCCAAACTACTGAGAAGCAACAATGTCGGTGTAGATGCTAATGCATTCTTTATTCAGGCCATAGTCTTTGCAATTGCTTGCTATACATCAAAAAGCTGGACAATGACTAAGGGCAACAGAAGAATCAATGCCTTTAAATTGTGATCCTGGAGAAGAGTCTTGAACATACCATGGACTGCCAAGAAAACAAATAGGTCTGTCTTGGAGAGGGTAAAACGAAGTTTCTCCTTGGAGGCTAAGATTTTGAAGCTCTGCCTCACATATTTTGAGCAGGTGGCCAGGAGGCCTGAACCTTGGAGAAGTATATCATGCTCAGAAGGGTGGAGAGACGGTGTAGGAGAGGGAGACCTCAGATGAGGTAGATTCATACAGTAAGTGGAGCAATGGAGGTTGGTGTGTTGGAATTAGTAAGACTGGCTCAGGACAAGGTTCAGGGCTGCTGCAGATAAGGTTGTTATGAGTTGCAGTTGACTCGTTGGCACATAAAAACAACAACATGAAGTCCACCAGGTGAGTTACACACGTAAAATCATCATTTGTGTCTTTTTTAAAAGTTATGTGCAATGAAGAAATCATTGTAATTACAAAATTAAATCATTCTATATCTAGCTTCATTTCTACCACCAAGCCCATATTTTCCAACTACTGTTGGCCTTTTACACTGTTTCCTACTTTTGCATTCCAGTCACCAACTTTTATTTATACAATCTGATTGCATGTTCACTCAATTCTGGGGTGCATAATATAGTTAAAATTCTCAATTTCTTTCTCTTTGGCTCTAGATGTAAGAGCATATATTTGAATAATGGTCATATTAATGGGTCTTGCTTGTATATGTATGTGTATTATCCATTGACTTACAACATTGTATTTCAAGATAGCACTTGACTGGTAGAGGAGAAGACTGCTGCTCCTTCTCCAGTAGAGAATAACAGCATCCTTTTGCTTTATTGGAACAATTGCTTCTTGACCTATGTACAGGTTCCTCCTGAAGCAAATTAAGCATTCTGGAATTCCTAATGTTCTTGGTTATGCATGATTTCTTAAAGTATACACAGATTAATGTCTTTGAAAAGCCAATAAAATATGAGTAAACATAAAAAAAAAGTAGCTGTCAGGCCACGAGGTCCTTCGGTTGCTCATGCTGTCACATGGGAAGTTCAGTGGTAAGACTTTAACCTTCCACGAGGGAAACCCAAGCACACCTCTCAGCCAGTTCACCCCGCTCTCTACCACCACCCAGTGCTGAATGACCCAATAAACAGGCTTCTTGACTAGGAAAAAAAAAAAGGTAGCACTTGAAGTTGACTTTTTGGCTATGAATGTAACACCATTCCTCCGGTTTTGTATTCCCTACATAGTATATAACATATAATTTTCTGAATTAATGTGGCCAAACCTGGTCTATCTCATCTCATTAATGACTAGTATGCCAATATTCTTGTGTTCCATTTCATTTCTAATAATTTACAATTTTCCGACATTCAAGTTATGTGCATTCCATATTTCAATTGTTAAATGATATTTGTTATTCATTTTCCTCATTCCTTTCTTTAGTGTTCATAGGGTTTTTCAAAGACCTACTCTTTAGCAAATAGATGGCCTATCACTCTTCCTAGTTTGTCTTAATCAGAGACCTCCACCAAAACCTGTTTACCATGGGAAACCCTTATGGCATTTCACAAAACAGTGGCATAGATTTCAGCATCACAACAACCCCAAGTTATCACAATACAGCAAACTGACAGACAAGTGCTGTACCACTTAAAACTATATTCTCTCCAAACACAATTAAACTTTAAAATACAAAGGCCTGTGCACCAGATCCTATTTGCTTCAATAAAAGTCTTCCCACTCACAGCAAATTGTTAACAGAATCAAAAACAGTCAATCAGCTTGCCCTTGAATATTAACACAATCAGAAACTCCCAAGCAATCACTCAGCTTTCAAGTAAATAAAAATACACTTACCCTTCAGGATCCAACTGCTCCAAACTGGAGGCTCATCCTCAGGCAAGATTAAATCTACTTTTAAATTTTTATATACATAAAAAGCATAAAACACAATTATAATACAAACAAGCTGATATTGATGGAAAAATATAAACTTCATAAATATAAAAATAGTTGTTGTAAAAAGAAACAAGTCTAATACACATTATTCCTGAGTTTAAGTATGTAGTATCCACTTGTTGTGTTCAAACAATTGCTTCTTGTTCTTGTTATCCTTGTTAGGTGCTGGACAAGTCAAGTATGACTCAAATTGACCCTATGAACAGCTAACCTGAACTATACCTTATTCTGTTCCGTCCTCATCAATCTCTGAAATACTAGAACCCATTGCTGAAGTCACCATGTCAATCCACCTCATTGGAAGTCACTTTGTTTGAGGATATAAAAATCAGAGGCACTTGGATTTTGTTTAAATACAGCAGATGAAAACTAGAGTCTTAACTCCATTTCAAAATTTCGAAATGAGTCTAGAATTCATGTTGGATTTTTGAAGCTGCCTTTTCAAATGAAAGACTTTTAAATCTTGGTGCTAACTTGGCCATATATCAAAAGGACAACAGTCCTTTATCTGAGGAGTGGTCTTGAAGGGTATCTAAACTATTCCCAAAGAGTTTTTGTCATTACTGAAAAATAAATGTGAAGGGAGTGTTTTGAGATACAGTATTATCTAAATATATACAATGGATCTCTACAAACAGACAAGTTCTAGGAAGACTAGATTAGCAGAAAAACTTGTCCTTTCTGTTCTCCTTACAGTAGACTGAATGGCATGCACTTTGACAAACCATATATTCTTATGTAAATATAGGAATTTAATACCTTATATATACCACATTTAACTCCAATGATGTTCTCTCATTCATTCATAGATTTTGTAACCATAAGGCTTTAATGCAACAATATAAGATCCATTTTGTGATCAGCACATGACTGTTTTTACTCTGTGACAATGAACATTAGTCTCTATCTGTTCATAGAGTTCATGTGTTTTTAATGGAAGAAAATTCTGAGATAATATCTTAGAACAACTTAGTTAAGGTTATGTATGAGATGATTAATTGTCCTAGAAAGCAATTCAGGCAGTGTGTGTAGCCCTGCAGTTCCATGGAGCAGTAAACAGTGAGTAGGAAAGAATACAATTCTCCTCAATGTTATCTATAATTTGTTATTATAAGTAACAAAAATATGAAAAACATTTTCCATTATCTCTACAGATACTGTAATTTCTTTAATTATCATGCCAAATGAAAACTAATATCAGTCCTTCTGTCTCTTCCAAGAAACTACAACAGGACTCAATGGACCAACAGAATCTAACAGTGATGACTGAATTCATTCTAATGGGCCTCACCAAACGCCCTGAGTTACAGCTTCCACTTTTTGGTGTCTTCCTTCTCATCTACATGATCACAGTGCTAGGTAACCTAGGCCTAATTATCTTAACCAAAGTGGACTCCCATCTACAAACTCCCATGTATTTTTTCATCAGACACTTGGCCTTCATTGACCTAGGTAATTCTACTGCCATTTGTCCCAAGATGCTGATAAATTTTATTGTGGATCAAAATATCATTTCGTTCTATGAATGCGCCACACAGATGTTTTTCTTCATTTTTTTCATTATCAGTGAACTTTTTGTCCTATCAGCCATGGGCTATGATCGATATGTAGCCATCTGCAATCCCCTGCTGTATAATGTCATCGTATCCCCAAAGCTTTGTTATGTGATTGTGGGCATTCTCTACCTCTACAGCGCATGTCAGTCTTTGATGTACACCATTAAGATTTTTACATCCACTTTCTGTGGCAAGAATATTATCAATCATTTCTACTGTGACGATGTCCCCTTGTCAACAATGGCCTGCTCAAATACACAAGAAATCGAATTTTTGCTTGTCTTATTCTCTTCACTTAACGTGATATCCTGCTTCCTGGTAGTATTGGTGTCCTATATTCTAATTCTGATAGCCATATTTGGAATGCAATCTGTTGAGGGCAGGAAAAAAGCATTCTTGACGTGTGGCTCTCATTTGACAGTGGTAGTTCTATTTTATGGAACTTTGATATTCATGTATGTGCAGCCCAAATCTGCGCATTCACACGATAATGACTCAATCACCTCTGTGTTTTACACTTTAATTATCCCGATGCTAAACCCATTGATCTACAGTTTAAGAAATAAAGAGGTAAAAAATGCCTTCCATAGAGTTTTAAAAAATGGAATAAAAGTTTGTATTTAATGTTCAATCTCTTTTTAGAAACGATGCCATAATAAATTACATTTGGTGATAATCTAATTGGTATAGCCTTTGTGCTTTCAAAGCAAGTACAAAATATTAATAATAAAAAACACTTCGCTTATCTGTGTTCAGAGACATATTAATCCTAATTTAGAGAGAAAATTAGCTGTCAGTCTTTCAAATCTCTCTTGTTTCCTATTCATTACTCACTAAAAGGGAAGAGAATTTAAAACACTTGTTGCAGAAAATAAAATAACTACTGTCCTCAATATGGATTATATCGCAACATAAAAAAAAAAGAAGAAAAAGAAAAATCACCACCACTATACCAATAGTAACCATCACAATAGCTGAAGAGAAGGTTGAAGCTGTCAAGGATTTCATCTCACTTGGATTCACAGTCAACAACCTTGGTACTAGCAGTCAAGAAATTAAAAAAACAGTCAATCAATCAATCAGCCAAGATGAACTTTACAGCCAATCCCAGGACCACAGAAGACTTCAGGCTGGGAAAGTTGCCTTCTTCTCCCCAAATTAGTGAACTTCCCAGCCAAAGTAAAACTTTCTGCAAGCCCCATAACCCAAGAGCACATTAAGCAGTACAAGTTGTCCTTCCCTTCATTGTTGTTGCTTGTTGATATGTGCCATCTAGTCTCCTGAGACTCATAGTAACCCTATGTACAACAGCCCTAAGCCCTGCTCTATCCTGTGCCATCTTACTGTCTCTGACATACCTACCCCATTACCCCAGTCACTGAATCAATCCATCTCATCGAGGGTCTTCCTCTTCTGTGCTGTCCCATGCATGATGACTGTCTCCAAGGACTAGTCCTGCCTCACAACACACCCAAAGTAAGTCAGACAAAGCTTCAGAATCCTGGCTTCCAAGGAGCAGCCTGGTTTCCCCCTCTCTAGGATAAGCTTGTTTGCTCTCCTAGCAGAGCATGATATATTCAATACTCTTCTCCAGCACTACATCTCAAAGGCATCAACTCTCCTCTATCATCCCTAGACACTGTCCAGGTTTCAGATACATAGAAAGTAATTACAAAGACTATAACCAGGATCAGGCACACCTTATTCACTAGACCGACACCATGGCTCTTCAGTACTTTCAAGAGGTATCTGACAGCAGACTTTCCCAATGCAATTAGTCTTTTAATTTCTTGGCTGCTGGTACCAAGAGTATCGATTGTGGAGCCAAACAAATTAAAGCTGTTAATAATCTTAATCTCTTCATTATCTATCATGATGCTGTCAATTGGTCGAGTAGCGAGAATCTTTATTTTCTTGACGTTGAGCTTAAATCCATATTGAAGGCTGCAGTCCTTGGCCTTCTGTGGCAAGCACTTGAGGTCCTCTTCAGTTTCAACAACCTGAGTTGTGTGATATGCATAACACAGAATGTTGATGACTCTTCCTCCAAACTTGATGCCACATTTCTCCTCATAGTGCCCAGCCACCCAGATAATCTTTTCTGTAAATAGATTGAAAAGGTATGGAGATAGGACACATCCCTGGCATATACACCTCCCAATTTTGAACCTGTGTGTTTCCTTGCTCTGTTCTTATGACTGTCTCTTGGTCCAAGTAGAGGTTTCACATAAGCACAATCAAGTGTTCTGGAATTCGCATTCTTCTCAGAGTCAGCCACAGTTTGCTGTGATCTACACAGTCAAATGCCTTTACATGGTCAATGAAACACAGATAGACATTCCTCTGGTACTCTCTGCTTTCAGCCAAGATCCATCTGCCATTAGCTATAATAACCCTAGTACCACAGCCTCTTCTAAACCCAGCCAGGTTTATCAGACTCAGCACCTGTGAGGACCCCAAGCAAGAAAAACTCTATCAAAGAAATGACATAGAAGTAGTGGACTACATCAGACCATACATGAAACCAAAATAAAATACTGTCTTAAAACCATGATCAAAACTCAGAATCAGTGGTTCTCCTGGAGGCAAAAAGCATGATTAAACTACTTAGCATAGAATTCAAATTACTTGGACAATGATCAAATTACTTGAATAAAAATAAAATAATCAATGATCAAGTAGTTTCACTGGATCAAAGAAAATAAAAAAAAATTGCAGAAATCTAAAAGCAAATCCCAAGAGAAACTTAAAAAAAATAATACAAGACAAGCATATAAAACTAATGAGGCATTAGAAACCCTAGAGAAACAAGAAACAGCAATTCAGAATAATAAGGCCAACATCTCAGAAGCCATCATCATGTTGCACAGATGAACAGAATTAAAGAGAGGGAATATAGAATCAATGAAAAAGAAGGTAGAGCTCTCTAATCTTTTAGAAAGAAAAATAAGAGTCAAAAAGGAAGAGAAATGAAGAAAACTCAAGAATAATATAGGACACCATCAAGAGGAATAGTACATAAATACTTGGAATAGAAGGAAGAACAAGAAGGGGGAAAAAGGAGGAAAAGGAGAAGGAGGAAGAAGGAAAAGGAGGAGAAGGAGGAGGTGAGGAGGGGGAGGGGGAGTGGGGAAGAGGGAGAGGGAAAAGGAGAGGAGAAGGAGAAGAGAAGGAGGAGGAGGGAGAGGAAGAGAAGCAAAGAACATGTTGAAAGGAAATAAGAAAAATATTATCAATGACAGTAGCTAAACACAAACTGAAATGTTTATAATTAATTAGAAATGTAAAATACATATAAGTTGTTGCTGTGTTCTAAAGATATATATATATATATATATATATATATATATATATATATATATATATATATATATATATATATATATATATATATATATATATATACATATATAAAATTATAAAACAGTACTGCAAGACTCAAAGCAGACCTAAAGAAATTGAAGTGTAAACTATGTTCTTGGAAAAGAAAACACAATATAATGATAATGACAATTCTATCAAAAGTAATCTGCAAGTTCAATGCAATCTCAATTAAGGTAAAGTTTGCATGTTTTCAATAAGAGAGCAATTTCCAATTTTGTCCGGAATGAAAAGAGACCGAATAAGCAAAACACTACTATCAAAGGAAAATAAGGTAGGAGGTATCACACTTCCCCTATCTCATGTCCTACGGCACAGCCAGAGTAATTAAGACTATATGGTACTGATACAGCGACAGACACATGTTGTTACTAGGTGCTGTCAAGTGGTCTGCTTCTCATCCTGACCTTATGTACAACAGCTCTGAAACCTGCCCTGTCCTGAGTCAGTCTACTGACCCCAACACACTTACACCCATTGCCCCAGTTAATGTATCAATGTAGGGTCTTCCTCTCCTGTGCTGCCCCTCCACACTTCCAAGCACTCTGGCCATGTGCCCAAAGTATGTGAGACCCAAAGTATGTGAGATAGACACATAGATCAATGGAATAGAATGGAATATCAAAAAATCAACTCATGAACTTATTTTCCTTGACAAGGAGATAGAATAAATTTGAGTTGGAAAATGACAGCCTCTTTGATAAAGGTTTTGGAAAAACTGGAAAACTATCTGCAGAATATTGAAATAAGACCCACTTTTCACACCATACACAAAAAGCAATTAGTATCAGGGACCTAGGAGTAAAACCCAAAACTAAGAAGTTCATCAAAGAAAATATAGGGGAAACTCTGAAAGCCCTAATCTAAAGCACGAACAAACTTCCAAGCATAATGAAAACCGTATAACTAGCTTGTTGTTGTTGTTGATTGCCTTTGAGTCGAACATGACTCATAGTGACTCTATGACCAAAAGTCCTGAAGCTCTTCTACAACTATCCATATTTATCAAAGTTCATAGAGTTTCCAGAGGCATGCTGTTTAGAAAGTGAATGCCACTCCTGCTTCCAAGTATAGAGTTGTCATTGTTATGTGCCATTGAGTCATTTGCGACTCATAGCAACCCAATGTACAAGAGCCCTAAATGCCATTTTATCCTGTGCCAACCTCGCTGTCTCAAACACATTCATTCCCACCACTCCACTCACAAAATCAATCCATCTCATCAAGGGTCTTCCTCTCTTGCGCCGTCTCTCCACTCTCCCAAACATGATGCCCCTCTCCAAGGACCAGTCCCTCCTTGCAACATGCCCAGAGTATGTCAGATGAAGCTTCAGAATCCTTTACTCAGGGAACATTCTGGCTTCGCCTTCTCCAGGAAAAACTTGTTTGTTCTCCTAGCAGTCCATGGTATATTCCACACTCTTCTCCAGCACCATAACTCAAAGGCATCAATTTTTTTTCTATCATCCCTATTCACTGTCCAACTCTCCAATGCATAGCACATAATTACAAACACTATAGCCTAGGTCAGGCGCACCTTAGTCTCCAGCATGACATCGTTGCTCTTCAGTACTCTTTAGAGGTCCCTCACAGCTGATTTTCCCAATGCAATTCATCTCCTGATTTCCTGGCTGCTGTTACCAAGAGTACTGACTGTGGAGCCAAGTAAACTAAAACTGTTAACTACCTCAATCTCTTCACCATCCATACTGATGCTGCCAATTGGCCCAGTGGTGAGAATCATTGTTTTTTGATATTGAGCTTTAATCCATATTGAAGACTGCAATCCTTGCCCTTCTTCAGTATAGAGTAGGAGAGGATAAAATAGGTTAATAGGACCTCTCAAAAATCAAATCCATTAAAAAAGTCTCAAGGTGGGGTAAGACTGAGAAAAACTGGATAAATTGTGTATACTGCACTGAAAGATGAGGGATGAATAATTTAAAAACGATGTATGATAGGGTATTATGGTTATCACAAGAGTCCACAATTAAGGTTGGAATGTACTTGGGGCAGTCGGAGGGGTGCAGGGGGATTGTGTACCAGGGAGGGAGTCTTTCTTTTACTTTTGAAAGAGAGGAGCAAACTGGGGGGCGGGGGGAGAGGGCTGGGTGGGTAGAGAAGTGCAGCAATGAATGAATGGAAATCCAAATTCTCTGTAAATGCTCATTAAAATTATTTAAAAAATTAAATAAAATAAAAAAGTCTCAAAGAGTACAAAAAAGAAGTCCCAAAGAGTGCAAAAACTATTTGTCAATGACAAATCTGATAAGGGACTCATATCTAAAATTTATGGAAGACACCAGAACATCAAGAGAAAAGCAAACAATCCAATCATAATATGGGCACAAGTTCTGAATAGACAATTCACCAAAGAAAAGAGTCAGCCAACAAACACATGAAAAGATATTAAAAATGTCTACCTATTAGAAAGAAGCAGATCAAAACAATGCAATATCATCTCATCCTAGCAACACAAGCCAAATTCAACAAGGAAGTGAACAACAAATGCTGGTGAAAATGTGGACAGGCTAATTCACATTCACTCCTGGGTTGATGTAAAATAGTACAACCACTATGGAAGGAAGCATGGCACTTTCTCATAAATTGGGAAATAGAAATGCCATTTGACCCAGATATTCCACTACTTAGAATACACCCTAAAGAAATCAAAGCTATGACACAAAGAGTTATATGCACACCTCTATTATTGCAGCATTATTCACAACAGCTTGAGAGATTGGAGCAAGCTGAGTGCCCATCAACTAACAAATGGATAGACAAACTGTCGTCTATCAATACAACAGAATATTGCACAGCATTGAAAAACTACGGTCATGTAAAACACTACACAATATGGATGAGTCTGGAAGACATTAGGCAAAGTGAAATATCTCAGTCACAGAAGGACAAATATTGTATAAGATCTCCATTATAAAACTAGAATGGACATGTAGGAGGGCAAAGAGCAGGAACAGAATGGGTAGATAATGAACATATTATTTTTTCTACCGTATTTCACCATAATAAATCCACTGCATAAATGATGTTGGAGGTGATGGTAAGGAATTGGGATTTCAATCAAAAGACACACAGTTCAAACCCATCAGGAGCTCTGCAGGAGAAAGCCTCTGAAAAATCCATGTTTTTGTGAAAGTGAATAATGCTACTATGAACATTAGTGTACAAGTCTTCATTTGTGCCTCAGTTCTCATTTTCTCGGGGTATATACCATGGAATACTAGAAGAACAAACATGTTAGTCCTAGAGAGGGTGAAACCAGGCTGCTTCTTGGAGGCAAGGATTCTGAAGCTTCATCTGACATCCTTTAGTCACGTTACAAGGAGGGACTGATCCTTGGAGAGGGACACCATGCTTGAGAGGGTGGAAGGACAGCACAAGAGAGGAAGACACTTGATGAGATGGATTGATTCAGTCACTGGGATAATGGGGGTAGGTTAAAGCAGAGTTTAGAGCTCTTATACATAGGGTTACTATGAGTCACAAGAGACTCAATGGCACATAACAGTAACAACAATCTTCCAAGCAGTGGGATATCTGGATTATATGGAATGTCTATGTTCAGCTTTTTGAGGAAGCACCAAACTGCCTTCCAGAATGGTTTCACTGGCAACAAGAGCTGCAAATCAAAACCACAATGAGACACCATCTCACTCCAGTAGCAAAGGAAAAGTTTAACAGGACAGCAAGTAATAAACGTTCAATAGGATGTGGCAAGATAGGAACTCATATACTTTGTTGGTAGGATTGTAAAATAGCCATCTGTTTTTTGATAGGCTCCTAAGTTTTCATATTCTAGCTATTTTGAGTAATGTTGCTTTGAAAATAGGTTTACATAGCTCCATTTATGTCTCAATTCTGATTTCTTTGGAGCGTATTTCCAGCAGGAGAATAGCTAGGTCATACATGATTTCTAGGGTCACTTTTCTGAGGAACGGTCAAAATGCTTTCCATAGTGGTTTTCCTATTTTACAAACCCACCAACAAGACATGATATTTGTAATTTCTCCATATTCTTGCCAACCCTTACTGTTTACTGGCCTGTTATAATTTACTGCTACTGCATGTGGTTAGATGGTATCTCATTGTAGCTTTCATTTGCACCTTCCTGATTTGCCATTGAGTTTGAACACTTCCTCCCTGGTTTGCTGGCCATCCAAATGGCCTTCTTTGTGAAGAATCTTTTCATGTCCTTTGCTCATTTTGTAATGGAGTGATCTGTTTTTTTTTTTCTTGTGGATACCCTGTGATAGTCTGTAAATTTTAATTATGAGACCCCTGTCTGAAACATCTTTGTTAAATGTTTGTTTTATTTTTTTCCCTGTGTGTGGGCTTTCTTTACACCATAAAGGAAAAGTTTCTGATGCACATAGACATTTGATTATTAAAAGTCCCATTCTTCAATTTTAACTTCTGGAACACGTTTGTTTTGGTTTTTTTGTTGTTTTTGTTTTTTTGCTTTGTTTTCAATCCTGTGTATGCCATAGACTAGGGCTTCTAACTTTATTCCTATTTTATCTATGATGATCTTTTTAGTTTTTATTTCTTCTTTGCTGGTGGTCCATTCAAATTAATGGCAAGACTAGCCGATCCCCTTGAGGAAAGAGTAACACACCCTACTTGTATAATTCTGCCCATATATTTGGAAAAGTCAAAGTTAATGTCAAGGAAAGCTATTCTGAACAATAAGCTTTTGATACCAAAAGATAATGAAGAAAAACTTAATGAAATATATGTATATAGTATTCGGTTTCAATGTACCATCAAGTCAGAACTGACTTCTGTCTGATCCTCCAGCAGATTTTCAGAGACATTTAACTACATGGGAGGAGATACCTTCTTTCTCACATGGAATAGATGGAAGATTTGAACTGCATTCCTTTGAATTGGAAGAGCAATCCTTATCACTGGGCCACCAGAACTCCCTCCGTACAGTACACTCCAATTAAAAATGGGTACAAATCAAACCAGAATGGAAGTCTCAAAACCATTGATCCAGGAGGACATTATTTCAGAGAACAATAAACCTTCTTAAACTTTGAAAGGACTTGATTCTGTGGGGAAAATTAAAGCAAAAAATGTAAGAAAGTACAATATAAGATGGTTCTCTTTCTAAAGAAGAAACAAAATAAATCCAGTGCATAGAGAATAACTGACCAAGACACTTTTAAACATCTAAGCCAGTGAAGAAAGTCTCTTTAGCAAGAAAATAGTTTAAACATTTTTCTCTTATTTCATTTCTTTTATCCGACTGTCCATTTATAAGGCAAAATGGGAAATTTCCCTATAATTTCTCATAAATGTTTTCCAGGTTCCCTAAGTAAGAATATGTTGTGTAAAATGCTTGTGTAGCTTTTCAAGATCAAACTCCACCCTTTTCTTGGTTTTAAGTCTGAATAGAAAGTTACAATAAAACATTGCCATAGCAGTAGTTAAATAAACAGGAAAAAAAAATGAGAAACAAAACTATACATATGAACCAAGTGCAGTATTTTAGTAAAGTAAAAAAGAAAAAGAATATTTTCTATGCCGAGGAACAAAGAATAGAATGATTGCCTGTGTTTAATTATATTGCATTAGATCATAGTGCAAATTTTACTTGACATTTTTCTAATAGGGATTTTGAAGAATAATTAGTAAATATTTAAGACATTCTCCCTGTGGCAATTAGAAGCAATGTGTTTATGTTCTTCTAAACCAGAGTGAAGCGTCAAGTCTCAAAGGAATAGAAAAACACTTAAATTCTTTCTTCAACAATCAATGAGGCTCAAACAGGAGGAGGCCAAAGCAGATTCTGCACTGCGGTGAGTAGAAACAGCAGTTCTTTGACACTGTCTCAGTAGGTAGGAGCATAAATATGACATCTGCAATGTTTTGAAAAGCTTTCTGCTTTGTAGAAGAGAAGTGTTTGATCGAGAGAATATTAGAGGGGATTGCCACAAACACATAGTCAGAGATTATTTTAAAATGTAACATTAGCTTAAGGCAAGTTTTTAGGCGGCACCAGTCCTCAGAAAAATCATTTCTGGAAAAATAGAGGATGGTAAGCAAAAATTAAGAAAATACAGAAGATGAATTGAACAGTGACTGAAAAAATGGCCTGAGTATGTTGGAGATTATGAGCTTTCTGTCCATTTTTCATAGGTTTGCTGTGAGTAATAGTTAACTTTAGTTTAGTTGGCTACTAGTAACAGCAAATAGATTAAAAATGTTATGCCACTATTTCTTCGCCTATTGAAATATAGGAATTCATTGAGAGAAGTGTGGAAACATACATTTTGTGGCCAGTAATTTTTAAAATTTTTTTTCCCTATCATCAGCTGGTTTTGGACAACACTAACAGTTTGGGAAATGACTCCTTGACTTTCTACTTTTAAAATAATGATAAATTAGTAGTGAAGTGACATTTTAGTTTAGGAATAGATGTTGGTTTTAAAAATTATTTGAATTTTTTTGAAAGCTGAGCTGTAACTGATAGCATTTTGACACACTTAAAATAATTTTGGGTCCAAACAGTCTCTTCATCAAAACTTTTCACTTTTAATGATATTTTAGCAAAAAAAAAAAATAAAGTTAATGAATGTATTTATAGTTTTGAACTGCCAGAGAGAGGAGTCTCTGTTTAGAAATGTGAAATTGAAAGTATCTCTGTATTTCGTATCTTCTATATTTGGTATATGATATATGCACTTCATATATCACCTATTTTTAAGTTATCTGAGAAGATAGCATCTCCCATATAATAATTTTTAATATTATATCTTAATGCAGGTACTAAAATGAATCATCTGGTTAAGCACAATCTTACTGCAGTGACCAAGGTGACAGAATTCATTCTCATGGGCATCACGGACAACCGCAGGCTTCAGGCACCCCTCTTTGCAATCTTCTTTTTCATATATTTGGTCACAGTCCTAGGCAATTCAGGCATAATTATCTTGACCCTCTTGGACGCTAAGCTACACACCCCCATGTACTTTTTTCTTAGACATTTGTCCATTACTGACCTTGGCTATTCCACTGTCATTGGCCCTAAAATGCTGGTAAACTTTGTCGTATCTCAAAATACAATTTCCTACAGCGGGTGTGCCACTCAGTTAGCCGTTTTCGAGATTTTCATCATCACCGAGCTGTTTATTCTCTCGGCGATGGCTTACGATCGCTACGTGGCCATCTGCAAACCTCTCCTCTACGTGCTGATCATGGCAGAGAAAGTGTGCAGGCTGTTTATACTTATCCCCTATCTCTACAGCACCTTTGTGTCCCTACTGCTCACAATTAAGCTGTTCAAGTCAACCTTCTGCGGCTCTAACGTCATCAGGTATTTTTACTGTGACTGTCTCCCCCTCATCTCCTTGCTCTGTTCTGACACCCGTGAATTAGAATTGATCATTTTGATCTTCTCGGGCTGTAATTTGCTCTCCTCGCTCTTGATTATCCTTGTATCTTACCTGTATATCCTCGTGACCACCCTCAGGATGAACTCAGCCGAGGGGAGATATAAAGCCTTCTCCACGTGCGCCTCCCATCTGACGGTGGTGACTGTATTCTATGGGACTCTATTGTTTATCTACTTGCAGCCCAAGTCTATCCATGCGTATGGGATGGATAAAATGGCTTCTGTGTTTTATACTCTGGTGATCCCTATGCTAAATCCCTTGATCTATAGTTTAAGGAACAAAGAGGTCAAAGATGCCCTAAAGAGAACTTTAAGTAATCACTGTAAAATTTTCACAATGTAGTATTTATTTTTGCTAAAGAAGGCAGGTCCAGAAAAAGTTGTTATATAAACTATGATATAAAAAGGTAGAAGTATCTTATAAGTTTATTTTTTTGTTTCTGGATGTAATACTTTCTCTGTTCTTTCTTCATACCCTTGTTAATTTCAATATGTATAAATACTATAAACAAATAATATGTCAAGCTATTTTTAAAATCATAATATAATCTAGATTATTTTGAAATAAGAAAAACATATCAAATTTGGGGTTGAATGTAGGCAGACTTGCGAAGGTAAATTAGTCTAAAATGGTAAAAATGGAACAAAATTAACCCAATTACATACATATATTTTATAACACAGCTTGACACAAAACAAGGCTGAACCATGAAGAATGTACTCTAGTGTAGAGCAAGGCGTATGTAGATAAGTGATTATAATGTCAAATGAAAACCTTTGTTTTCAAGAACTTACACTAAATGAAGAAACAAAATAGGTCCCCCCTTATTGTGTTTTTAAATAAAAACAACTCAGCATTTCATATCACAAGGATAGAGAGAGAGTAAAAAAAAAAAAAATCTGATTATTACCCTGGAGAAAAATACTGAATATTTTTACATTTACCTTAATATACCTTCACATTCCTTTGAGTTATTTAAATTCATAATGAAGAACCCTGAGTCAGAATAGACTTATAGCTGATCCTCCAGCAAAGAAGGGGATTTCCCAATTTGCCCCCTCAGAGCAACTGGTCAATTGGAAATAGGCTTTGGATTAGCAGAGCAACTCTTGACCAAGTTTGCAAGCTAAGTGTTTCTGGGCTACCTGATAAAGTCCTGTAAGTATATTTCAATGTTTATAGTCAGTAATAACACAGCTAATTGATATATTCAAAACTTAATGACACTTTACTCCTAAGCTATATAGTCTAGTTATTGGGTTTGTATGCCCAGTGGCACTCTCTTATGTGTTTCTGTGGTAACATTACACTTCATTCACCCGGTAATTGAACCACTTCTGTATGCTTTAGTAGTATTTTAATCATTGAAATAGCAAAATTTTAGATTTCTTAATATAGAAACATTAGCTCAGTAATAGAGCGTTCTGGTTGTGTAGTCAGTACACAAATTGAGCTGACACAAAGACAGCATCTTTTCCACAGTTAGAACCCACCGGAATCTCCTGAGGAGAAAGATTAGCAACATTCTTACAGGAGATTCAAAGCTTCAGAAAAGTTACCTGAGGGAAAACTATGAGTTAGTTAGACTCCAAGACAACGAAGGTGAGTTTACAATGCAATAATGTTCATTTAAATCTGCCCTTTGATTTGAAGTGAACATTTCAGGAACTGAATCAGAAGTTAAAATAGCATCTCTTGATCACATGGTAATAATTCTCCTTTATTTTTGCTTCTTTTACTGTATTAAAAAATTAAATTAAGCATAAGCTAAGAAATGCAAAGTTGCAGTTTCTAATCAAACCGGTTGTATCAGGTTAATTTTTATCCCATCACTAAGCATCATTAATTTTATGAATGTATTTTCTACAAGACATACTTTATGCTATATTGTACAGCTTTAACTTGGTGGTTGTTTTTTTCCCTTTTCCATCACCTCTTAAAACCCAAGAAGAAAGATAACAAAATAAATAACATTTTCCAATGTCATCATTTAAATGCACTTTCAAAAATATTCATATTTTTGTTTTAGTCAAGATTTACAAATCATGCTTGATCTCCTTATAATAACTTACAGACATTATGTTTTATAATATTGACTGTTATTGAATAATGCAATTAATTAACTGCAGTGACTAAATCAATCACTTACTGTGTATCATCTTTCCTTCCTCTAAGTGACCCATTCTCTCCTTCCTCTCACGCCCCTTTTCTATTTATGTAAAAATATTTCCTTAATTTTTCATAATCGAGTTCTTAAATACTATTGTATTTTTCTGACTAGCTTTCGTCACACAGCATATTTTTTCCTGAGTCATCCATATTACACAGTGTTTAACGAATTACTGAGTACTTTTAACTAAAACCTAATACTCTATTTTGTAAATTAATTTTTGTTTATTTAGCTATTGTCTAATGATAGATATTTTTATTGTTTCTAACTTTTTGCTATTATTAATAATTCTACAATAAACAGGAGTGTGTGTTTATTAGTTTGTGCCTCACTTTTTTTAAATTTTTCTTTGTAATATACACATAGAAGAGGATTTCTAAGTCTTATGGCATCTCTATTCTCAATTCCAATTTTTAAAATTATTTTTTACAAGAATGCAATAATAAATTAGCTTAAATAATCAAGGCTGGTGTTGTTAGGTGCCATTGACTCAACTATGACTCACTATGAACAACAGCTCGGAACACTTCTCTATCCTGAGACAACCTCAACCATCTCGGATACACCTGACCACATTGCCACAGTCACTATATCAATCCATCTCATGCAGGGTCTTTCTCTTCTGCAAGTCAAGACAATATAGTACTTTATAGACCAAAAATGGTGGTGGTGTTGGTTGCTGCTGTGTGCCACCTAGTCTGAGTCACATATCTTTGGGTTGGAGGTGCAACTTCAATCCATTAGGCCACCAGAGCTCCCTGACTCACTGTACAGTTGTCCACATATGTTGTTGTTGTTAACATGCCATCAAGTCATAACAGGCTCACAGATGAGGTCCCCTCTGCCCCCCAGTTGGTTTTCAGAGGGAATAAATCCCACAGGAAGACGTTGTTCATCTTTCTCTGGAACAAGATGCATTTAATGTGTTCTAGTTTGACAACTGGAATTGAGTTCCTAGACTTTCATTGTCATTCCTAGAGCTTTCATTGTCGTTCCAGTTTTGTACTATTCACCTTATGAATGCAAATTAGTTAGTTACTTTGAGAGACAATTAAAAAGTTACTATAATCACTGTTGTGCCTTAGGTATGATGAAGTTTCACTCCTTTCAATAACACAGGGTCAGATGGGGACAAAGTGGCCCCAGAGGGTATTTGGTTGAACTCCTAGAAGCAGACCTCACTAAGGAACCAATCTCTGGTGGCTCCTCCCCCAGGGAGGTAAAAAGACAATTTGTGTTTCACTTGTGCTTCAGAGAAAAATAGGGCCAGAGGGTTTTATATAGTCTACACCTTTCACTGTTAGTCATGCACAACCAGAGACACCATTTCCATTAGAGGTGGGTAGAAGCTATTTATAAAATTTTCTTATTCATAGTGGTCTTTAAAAAAGTATCCACTTCAATTTATTGTTTGAGAGACACTGAATATTACATATAACCAAAGAGATAAGTTCTAACTAATATTTGTTTCGGTTGTTGAATATGATCCAGGAACACTGGAATATTGCTGCTGTTGTTGTTATGTATCCTCGAATCAGAACTGACTCACGGTGGACCCTCTAGTGGACTTTCAGAGGCTGTGATTTGCATGGCAAGAAATAATCCATCTTTTTTTTTTCCTTTGGATTAGCTTCTGGGTTACAGCCACATGTCTTTAGATTAGCTTCACAACTCCTGACTACGGGGCCACCGGAGCTCCCTACAGAATTGCTAGAATTCCAAAATCCATGCTTGCCTGTCAGTGAAAAAAAAAAAACCAAAAACATCAAGCTGGTTGAAGAACACAGTAGAATGTTTTTATCATATACAGTGAAATGAAAATTTAAGAAAAGTTATTTAAAAGAAAAACAAACCAGTATATCATCATTGCTACATTTTGAAATAAACCCCAATATATGCCTTGAAAATCCTGACTTCTCTATGTCTGTATTTTTAATTCCATTCAAGAATGCATGTTCTTTGACATGTTAAGAAAGTCATGTTAATTTAGGATGTTTCAAATCAATGTCTTACAAAATGCAAAGAAAGTTGATTAAGCAAGAAGAGAAGTTGGGGTGGGGTAGAATAGAACACAAGTCTCAAAGAAGATCGCCAAGAAACAAGGAGACATAAGAAGACACAGGACCTCACTACAGAGGCCAGAGAGAATGGTTTCCACTAGAGCAACACCGTTAAGTTTGGGATTCTAGATTCTAAATGGTGAGAAAGTAAATTTGTTAAGTAAAGTGATTTATTTGTGGTATTTCTGTTGTGGAAGTGACAGATAACTAAAACAATCACTTATTTTTAAGTTTATACATAAAGTTTAGAAGCAGAAATGCTATCCACTTCCTAAACAACTTGCCTCCAGAAACTCGATGAACTTTAATAAATGTCAATAGCTGTGGAGAGGATTCAGACCTTTTGTTCCCAGGGTCACTATGAGTTGTGCTCGACTTGAAAGCAATCAACAACAACAACAACATGCATAAAGTAAATGACGATGAAAACAGTTGCAGAAATGAGTATTAGAAATGAAAAGCTACAGGAAAACTGGAGAGTACATCAGTGACCTGAAGATAAATCTGAAGTCTTAGGTAATGAAATACAAAATGAGAATAGAATACCTATACATGATAGAATTAGGGGTTTCTACAGGGATCAAGGAGCTCTGGTGGTCTATAGTAAGAAGCTGAACTGCAATCCCAAAGGCACGTAGTTCAAATCTACTCGCTGCTCTGTAGAAAAAGGAGGGGCAATCTTCTTCTGTATAATGTACAGCTTCTTTCCACTAGAACGTCAGCTTTGAGTTTATTCTGGCTTGACAGCCTGCAACAATAACAAGAATCTAAGAGATGTTATGGTGGTAGTTCAAATTTTCTATTTTAGCGAACAACAAAAAAAATCTTCTCTTCAAAAAATCACATAGAACCCTTAAATTATTTCAGCCTAACAATTTATGAAACCCATCTCATGGTAAATTTCTTAAAACACTTGCTGTAGAAGATCAAAAAGCCTTCAATATGGATCGCATCTTGATGTCAAGAAAACAAAAATTCTTACCACTGGGCCAATAGGCACATATCATCATGATGGGTGGAGAAAGCCTGAAACACAATGACTTTGTCTTTCTTTGGTCCACAATCTATATACTTGTCACCAGTATTCACGAGATCATGAGACACATTGCACTGGGAGCATCTGCAGTGAGGGGCCTCTCCAAATTAATGAGGATCAAGGATGTTAGTTTGAGCACTAAAGTGCACCTGATTCAGAATATGGTCTTTTAAATCATTTTCTATGTATCTGGACAATTTGCTATGCTGGACAATAAGTAAGGATAGAATAGAATAATAATAATTAGTAAGGATAGAAGAATAACCGATACCTTTGAGATGTGGTATTGAAGGAGATTACTGAATATTCTATAGATTGCCAAAAAATAACCCAGATCTCTCCAAGATATGTTGTGGAGAAGGTGAAGCCAGATTCCTTCTTGGAAGCAAGGATGATGAAGGTGAAGCTTCATCTCATATAATTTGAGCACTTTTCCAGGAGAGGCTATTCCTTGGGGAGGGAAATCATGCTGGAAAGGTGGAGGGGGGTGACAAAGAGAAAGACCCTCGGCCAGGTGCATTGACACAGTGATTGCAGCAACGGGCTCGAGTGCGTCAGAGGTTGTGAGGATGAAACGTGAAAGGACAGGGTCCTCTATCGTGTATAGCGTCACTAAGAGTTGTACTTTATTTGATGGCACTTATTATTATCAATAAAATCTCATAAACCCTATGGTAGACCTAAAATATTAGTCATAACTTCAATATTTACAACATATATATTTTTACAAATTAATGTAGGAGTGGCAACTATTTCCTAAATAACATGCCTCTGGAAACTATGAACTTTGATAAATGTTGATAGCTGTAAAGGGGCTTCAGGCCTTTTGTTCATTGGATTGCTATGAGTTGTGCTTGACTCAAAGGCAATTAACAGCAACAACAATACCAACAATGCAATATTATTATATTATTGCAAATATTATTAGTAATATCTCCACTGTGCCAATTGGCAGCATCATTATGGGTAGTGAAGAGTTTGAGATTGTTAACAGTTTTAGTTTATTTGGCTCCACAGTCAGCACTCTTGCAACCAGCAGCCAGGAAATCAAGAGACAAATTGCATTGGGAAAGTCAGCTGTCAGTGTGACCTCTCCAAAGTACTGAAGAGCAATGATGTCAGGCTGGCGATTAAGATACGCCTGATCCAGGCTAATCGTCTTCGCAATTATGTGCTATGCATCAGAGAGCTGGACAGTGACTAGGGATGATAGAGAATTGATGTCTTTGAGTTGTGCTGCTGGAGAAGAGTGTTGAATATACCATGGACTGCTAGAACAAACAGGTTTGTCCTGGAGAGAGTGAAGCCCGGCTGCTCCTTGGAGTCAAGGATTCTGAAGCTTCATCTGACATACTTTGGGCATGTTGCAAGGAAGATCCAGTCCTTGGAGAGGGACATCATGTTTGGGAGGGTGGAGGGACATTGCAGGAGAGGAAGACCCTCGATAAGATAGATCAATTCTGTGATTGGGGTGGTGGGAGTAACTGTGTCGGAGACAGTAGGTTGGCACAGGACAGAGCAGGATTTAAGGCTCTTGTACATTGCAACTTGATGGCACATAACATTATGAAGATGTTCCCTTCTTCAATATAATGCATAATATTGAGTCATCTCTTTAATTTACTCTAATTATTATAATTTACTTGTACTTTCACTCAAGTCATTGCACAACAATCTCTTGTTTAAAAAAAACAAACCAACAAACAACAAACAGCACTAGAGGCTTGAGTTCAACATCTTAGTATGAATTATTTGTGAGTCAAGGTACTCTCAGCCGGGGAGCTCTGGTGGCCTAGTGGCAAGGAGCTGCAACTACAATCCCAGAGGCGCATGGTTCAAATCCACCAGATGCTCTGCCAGGAAAAGGAGGGACAATCTCCTCCTGTACCAGTCAGATCTGATTTGACGGTATACTCATACAAAAAATAAATTTAAAAAATTTAAAAAAAAAGTACTCTCAGCTAAGAAATAATCTTTGTCTTCATCTTTGAAAAATAATTCATTAACGTTTGCAACCCATTTTCTCTTTACCCTACAACAGATGAATTTTCACGCTCTCACATGGCTCCTGAAAATCTCACCCGGGTGACTGAGTTCATTCTCATGGGGGTCACAGACCGGCCAGAACTCCAGGTCCCCCTTTTCTTTGTCTTCCTGCTGATCTATGGGGTCACTGTGGCCGGAAACCTGGGCATCATCACCCTGACCAGTGTGGACGCTCGTCTTCAAACCCCCATGTACTTTTTCCTGAGGCATTTGGCTGTCATCAACTTTGGCAATTCTACTGTCATTGCCCCTAAAATGCTGACCAACTTCTTAGTAAAGGATAAAACCACTTCTTATTATGAATGTGCCACCCAAATGGGTGGCTTCCTGTTTTTCATTGTGTCTGAGGTGTTCATGCTGGCTGTGATGGCCTATGACCGCTACGTGGCCATTTGCAACCCCCTGCTCTACATGGTTGTGGTGTCTCGGCAGATCTGCCTTCTGCTCGTGTCCCTTGCATACGTCTATGGCTTGTCTACAGCTATTGTGGTTCCATATTGTGTATTCTCCATGACTTACTGTTCTTCCAATATCGTCAATCATTTTTATTGTGACATTGTTCCCCTGCTAGCATTGTCTTGCTCTGATACTTACCTCCCAGAAACTGTAGTCTTTATCTCTGCAGCTACAAATTTGGTTCTGTCTTTGATTATAGTTCTTGTATCCTATTTCAACATTGTCTTGTCCATTCTCAGGATACGCTCAGCAGAAGGAAGGAAAAAGGCCTTTTCTACCTGTGCTTCACACATGATGGCAGTGACAGTGTTCTATGGGACACTACTCTTCATGTATTTGCAGCCTAAAACGGACCATTCGTTAGATACTGATAAAATGGCTTCAGTGTTTTATACACTGGTAATTCCTATGCTGAATCCTATGATCTACAGCTTGAGGAACAAGGATGTGATAGCTGCTTTCAAGAGATTCCTGTCAAACCCATGTGGATCCTTAAAACCAATGTAATTTTACACTAAGCAAACATGTAATAAAAGAATTAACGTAGGATGTATGTTATTAATGTAATAGAAATTTTCTTCTAAATGGAATCACACAAAATGTAATTGCTTGTACTTCTTTTCTCTTTATTTGCACTTTATTCATGTCATGACATATATCTTAACAGAGCGTCTTTTTGAATATTCTAATATTATATTTTATTTTTTTTATTTTGATAATTTCCAATTTTGGGCTACAATAAATAACTCTCTTGTGAAACTTTGAGAAGAAATTGCTACCAATTTTGTAATTTTTTATTTCCCTGAGTTAGAATCCTATTATCAGAACTCCTGAGACAAATGAGGTGCGTAGTAGTCTTTTTAAGGTTCTGCCACAAAATTTGCCAACACTACCCTTGAGAACTCGTACTGGACTCGACGGTACCTAGCACCACCAACAAAAACAACAACAACGACAACTCTTGAGAATATACAAGTATTCTAGTCTCTTTGTATGGTTCTCAACACTCAATTTTGTGAGTTGGTCTTATTCGAGCAACTTGAGTGAGTGTATACTGGTGCCTTGTTGTGATCTTACTTTGTGTTTTGCTGGTGACTATTTGGTGCAATGTTTCAAGTGTTTTGCATCATTTATAGGTATTCATTGGTAAAATATATCTTCAAATCTTTCGTTCTTTTTCAAATTGTTATTTGCCATATCACTGAATTGCAAATCTTCTTAATCTGTCCTATATTTCTGTTGTTGTGAACCTCTATTGAGAACCAATGTACAATTGACCCTCCAGTGGGTTTTCAGAGGCAGTTAACCAGGCAGAAGAAGACTGCTCTTTTTTTTTTTTTCTATAGAGCAGCTGGTGGATTATAACCCTCTACCTTTGCACTGATAGTACAATTCCTTACCACTAAGCCAACTGAGCCTGTGAATCTGTTCTATAAACAAGGACTTCATAAGATATGTGAATTACAAATGTTTCCTTCCCATATTCTAAGTAACATCTTTAGAAAATCAAGTCCTTTTTTTTTATGGATGCAATTCAGTTTTTTACACACCAGTAAGGCTTTTTTAGTATTGTTGTTGAGTGCCATCAAGTAGGAACTAACTCATAGCTCACTCAGCTTTTGTTCAGGGACAGCAAATCACACAGGAGGAAATGTCCCATCTTTCCCTCATGAAACAGCTGGTGAATTCAAAATCTGTGTTTAGTTTGGCAGCACAGTGTCTTGCTACTGGGCCACCAGAGGTGTAATTATAGATATAATTTAATCTTATAGCTATAAAATGTCTGTCTAAACTATTGCTGTTGCTGTTGTTATTGTTATGTGCTGTCCAGTCACCTGTGACGCATAACGACCCTAGGTACAACAGCCAGAAAACCCATTCTATCCTGCGGCCACTCTTATTGTCTCTGGCACTTCCATCCCCGTTACCCCTGTAACTGAATCAATCCATCTTATCCAGGGTTTTCCTCTCTTGCGCTGTCCCTCCGCCCTCACAAGCATGACATCCCTCTCCAAAGACTAGTCCCCCGTGCAAAATATCCAAAGTATGTCAGACGAAGCTTCAGAATCCTTGCCTCCAAGGAGCAGCCTGGTGTCACCCTCTCTAGGACTAACCTGTTTGTTCTCCTAGCAGTCCATGGTATATCCAACACTCTTCTCCAGCACCACAGCTCAAAGGCATCAATTCTTCCTCTGTCTTCCCTCATCACTGTCCAGCTTTCTGATGCCTAGCAAGTGATTGCAAAAACCATGGCCTGGATCTAACTATAGTCACAAAAAAGTTCTTTGTATTTACTTCTAGACGTTTTATGCCTAAAATCCATTCAATTAAATTTCTCTGTTATGTGAAGACAAAGTTCTAAAGACCCTCCTCCCCCAAAGATGTTGCTGTTGTTAGGTATCGTCCAGTTGACTGCAATGTACAGTGACCCTGTAAACAATAGATTTAAAACTTGTCCTGTCCTGCATCGTTCTCACAATCTCTACTATGTTCACACCTATGGTCATGGTTGCCGCTAAGTATTTGAAGGCTTTCTTCTCTTCAGCTGACTTCTTTCAGAGAAAAGGACTCTCAGCAAGGCGGATAGACACAGTGACTGTAGCAAAGGTATCAAGCATGTCGGAGATGATGAAGATGGCACTGCACAGTACAGGGCTTAGGTCTCTTGTCTATAAGGTCACTATGACTTGTAGTTGACTCAATGGCTCACAGCAACAACAACAGCAACAGCAACTACCTATCTCAGCATGTCTCGCTCCAAGAATAGATTCCTCCCCAAAATATGCCAATATTGATGCTAAATAAGGATGCTGACTTTTCATAGCACCATCTGAAGCAATGATACTAAAATTTAAAATATTCCTCTCCATATTTTATCTTGAGCAATTATTTTTGAAGCCCACAAAAGTAAATCATATTAATAACATTCTCTAATTTCATATGTGCAAGTACACTTTTAAGAAACCAGACAAAAATCTATTTCTCCACAGCTTTCTTTTCTTAATGAAGAATCCATAATAATCACTATCATTATTACAGTTTTCTTGATCAGTAATTATTAATTATTTGTCATTTTGAACATCAGAAAATAGTCATAGAACATTGCTTAATCACTCTGTATTTTACCAATTCTTGATTTGGTCGGGGATTTGGTTGTTTGAAGGATTCTTTTTTTCTTTTTATATATTAGAAAAACGGAGTGCTGTAATGACCAACTTTATGCTTATAACATAATACACTGATTTGTTTCCTTTCTAAAGTAAATGTATGTAAGTACTCTCCTAGATTTTAAAGATATGCTGGTAGATAATGTTTTTACACATGTAGATATGCATATAATAATTTGACATTAGGAAAAAAATTCACCTAATGTAAAATGCTATGAATTGAGAGACAATCCATGTAAGGTTCTCAGACTTAGCTTTTCATGATTGAGCGCTAACATTTCCTTTTAAATAATTTTCTTTGTGTGATGAAATAAAAAAAAAACCCTAACAAGAAAATAATAGTTGCATGATACTGTGTTATAGATACAACTTAATAAATCTCAAAGATCTTCATCAGATATCCTGAAAGATATTTTAAATTAATGAAGATACAAATCTTTTTAACTGTTTCTGGACCTTAGCAAGAGGTTTTAAATGACTATGTTCCTCGGTTTATGGCATATTATTACTAATGGTCCAGGAAATGTCCCTTATTCTTTCTCCTTCTGTCTTTTCCTTTTTTTTTCTCCCAAAAGGCTTGCTGGAAAATCTCATGTTAGTAAAAGAGAAATATTTATTTTCTACATTCTAGTCATTGCTCTCAAGTTCAAACAAACTCATAGCTAGGCCTCTAGAGGGTTTTCACATAGGAGGAGAATGTCCATTCATTGTCTTGGGAAGCAACTGTTCTCTAACCACTTTGTGGTGGCAGTATAACTCCTTACCTGCTGGGTCACCAGAGCTCCTCACATATTTTCATTACTCATCTCTCTCTCTCTCTCTCTCACACACACACACACACACACGTACACACACATACACCTGAATCAAGGTCATTGCTATGAAGTCAAAACTAACTCATAACTCACCCACTAACAAGTTTCAGAGCTATAAATAATAAAGGGTGAGATTGCCCATCTTTCTGTCCTGGATTCACTGGATATACAAAGAGCCAGGGAGGAACATCTTTGGGTTGTCAATACCACTCCCTATGAACCATAGCTCTAGGGCTCCTGATTTCATACATAAAATGCATTTTGAAACTCTGGGGCTTTTTAAAACCAATTTCTGGCATCTACAATTCATGTTCAAACATAAAAACAAATCACTTTGAAATTCTATTATTTTACTCTTCTCCTGTAGCTGTCTTCTAGATAGCTAGCTACTTACCTGAAGTGTAAGAGTAAAGGAAATTTTTTTGTAAGGGAAAATATTAAAGAATACTTTTAGCAGGCGAGCTCTGGTGGCCTAGTGGCAAGAAGCTGCAACTACAGTCTGAGAGGTGCACGGTTCAAATCCACCAGATGCTCTGCTGGAGAAGGAGGAACAATCTCCTCCTGTACCAGTCAGATCTGATTTGATGGTACACACAAAAAATAGTGAAATAAAATAAATTTTTAAAAAAAGAATACTTTTATCAGATTAAGGTTGTTAAACATTGGACATTGTTCCTTAAATCAATGACAGTGCTAATTGTATCATTTTAGAGAAAGCAGGGAAAAGAAATGACATATAGTGGTATAAGGGAAGCACAATTTCACTCTACTCACTATAGAGCTATGTACATATATGTTCTAATTTGACTACTAGGGAATCACAGTGGCCTAGTGAGTAAGGAGCTTCACTGTCAACCCAAAGGCAAGTTAGTCAAATCCACCAGCTGTTCTACCTGAGAAAAATGGTCACTCTCTTCTGTGTCATTTACTGACTCTGAAAATCTGTTGGGGCGAGGGGATCAGCTATAAGTTGGTCCCACCTTGACAGCACATAACAACAAACAACAACAATTTGACTCCTAGACCATTTGTTTTCAACTGAATTTTAGTAACAGTAAATCTCTGAGGATAAATGACCCACTTTGGAGATGGAGATGGACTTTAATTGTTTTAATGGCATCCTTATGTTATGCATCACAGAGTTGGAGCTGACTCTTAGTTGGCCATCTAGCAGGTTTTCAGAGGCAGATGGAGCAAATGAATAGCATAGACATAGATTGTCACAAAGTGGCCCCAATGGGTACCTAGTGGAACACAAGGAGGGAGATCTTATTAAGGAAGTAATCCCTGGTGTCTCTTAACCCATGGAAGTAAAAGATAGCTTGTGGTTCAGAGACTCTTATAAAGCCTCCACAACCTCCCTGTCAAAGGCATGTACTGAATTTCACTAGGAACTACAGGTAGATTGTCAATTAGAGGTGGGTAGAACACATTTATCTCATTTCTGTATTATTTTCTATATTATTTTCTTAAAAGATATAAACCAAATAATTGCAAATGAGACCTGTGAATTTATTTTGGGGATGTAAGAAATGTGTTTGTAATAAAATAATCTTTAAAGCAAGCTTTCTTTCCAATTTGTTGGGTTATGGACTTTCTAATATGATATTGTTGTTGTTAAGTGCCATCAAGTCACAGGCGCCTCATAGCGACCCTATGAAGGAGAATCCTCAACACTTGGGTGTTTCTCATCCTCTCTCCAGGTTCATAGGGTTTCTGGAGCCCAGCTATTACAGAAGTGGATGCCATTCCTCCTTCCAACATACATACATATATACATACATACATACATACATATATATAACAACATATATATGTGTGTGTTGTTGATCACTTTCAAGTCAAACACGACTCATAGCAATCCTATAAACAAAAGACCTGAAGCACCTCTACAAATATTGACATCTATCAGAGTTCAAAGAGTTTCCAGAGGCTTGTTATTTAGGAAGTGGATGCCACTCCTGCTTCCAAAACTGTCATATTATTTATATTATATTAACTCTATTATATTCTATTATTATATATTATATTATATTATATTATTTATATTATTATTGCTGTTTTTGTTGATTGCCGTGGAGTCGAGTATGACTCACAGTGACCCTATGAACAAAACACCTGAAGCCTTTCTATAACTATCACCGTCTAAAAAGAGAGGCAAACGTGAGGATATCCATGGAACTAGGAAACAAATTGAGAAGACAAGAACCTTCTCCTAGAACCTTAAGAAAGAGAAAGCCTTTGCCTAGAAGCATCACACTGAATTCAGACTTCTAAACCCCTAAATGATGAGGAAATGAATTTCTGTTTGCTAACCCCACATTCCTGTGGGACTTCTGTTGTAGCACCAGCTAGCTAAGATAATCACCAAGACTGGCGTTTTCAAGTATCTACATTTTAATCATGTCCGTATTTTCCAAATACACAGATGAGTTTCTAGAAATGATTGCTTAAATGTCACATATGCACTTAAAACATACTCATCCTTTTGATCAGTCATAATGTAACAATGTAAACATACTTTAACATTTATTCTAAGATTAAAAATTTATCATCCCCATTCATTCAGCTGCAAAAACCAAGAACACAAGTCACTGTTATCTACGTCATTCCTTCAAATATCTCTCAAATTAATAGTATAAATAATATTGAAGGCTATATTTAAGTTTTACTTTCAATTGTCTTTCAAGCGGACCTCCTTTTATTAATCTTAAATCAGTTATCTTCCTTAGAATCAAGGACAGTCAAATCTTGGTGACCAGTTTCAAGGCATTCTGTTCTGACATCACTTCCTCCTCTCCGCTTTTGCTAAAGGCTTTAGCCCGATAATTCAATTACAATACTCAGTGATCCAAGAAACTCTCAGTTAAGGATAGTTCATGGCATCTGACAGCAGGTTTGAAAATAATTCCTTCACGTTTATGACGGATGTTCTTTTTATTCTCCAAATAGATGAATTTTCAAACTCTTTACACCTCTCCTGAAAATCTTACCCAGGTGACTGAGTTCATTTTAACAGGCGTCTCGGACCAGCCAGAACTCCAGGTCCCCCTTTTCTTTGTCTTCCTACTGATCTATGCATTGACTGTGTCTGGGAACCTGGGCATCATCACCCTCACCAGTGTGGACCCTCGACTTCAAACCCCCATGTACTTTTTCCTCCGACACTTGGCTGTCATCAATCTTAGCAATTCTACTGTCATCGGCCCTAAAATGCTGGCCAACTTTTTGGTTCAGAAGAAAACGATCTCCTACTATTGTTGTGCAGCTCAACTCGGTGGATTCTTACTCTTCATTGTGGCTGAGGTGTTCATGCTGGCTGTGATGGCCTATGACCGCTACGTGGCCATTTGCAACCCCCTGCTCTACATGGTGGTGGTCTCTCGGCAGCTCTGCTTCCTGTTAGTGTCCCTGGCATACATCTACGGCTTTTTCACGGCTGTTTTAGTTCCATCCTGTGCATTCTCTATGTTTTATTGTTCTTCCAATGTAATTAACCATTTCTTCTGTGACGTTGTTCCCCTGTTAGCATTGTCCTGCACTAATACTTACCTCCCAGAGACTGTCGTCTTTACTTCTGCGGCTACAAATCTAATACTCTCTTTGATGATAGTTCTAGTGTCCTATTCCAATATCATCTGGTCTGTTCTCAGGATACGCTCATCAGAAGGAAGGAAAAAGGCCTTTTCTACCTGTGCTTCACACATGATGGTGGTCACAGTGTTCTACGGGACACTACTCTTCATGTATGTGTCACCTAAAATGGACCATTCATTGGATACTGATAAAATGGCTTCGGTATTTTATACTTTAATAATCCCTATGTTGAATCCTATGATCTACAGCTTCAGGAATAAAGATGTGATCGCAGCCTTAAAGAGCCTCCTGTCTAACCCAAGTAAATTCTTAAAATCAGCGTGATTTCAGGCAATACCAGTAAATTATAAGACTGTTAATATAAATTATGTAAATCGGATTTTTCATCTCAACTGAATCATGAAAGATGTAGTTGGTTTTTCACATTCTTTTTATTTTTTTAATTTTTGCATTTCATTAATGTTGGAGCATATATTTGAATATAAGTCTTTTTTAAAAAGATGTATTTTACTTATTTGTTGTTATTGTTATGTGTCATCGAGTCAACTGTGACTCTTGGCAACCCTGTATCTCTGAGCTCTGTCCTATCCTGAGCTAATCTCACTATCTCTGAAACACCTCTGACACTACCCCTGTTACCCCTCAGTGTGGGGTCTTCCTCGCCTATGCTGTGCCTCCACTCTTCAAGCATGAAGTCCTTCTCCAAAGACTAGTCTTTTCTGACTCCATGCCCAAAGCATGTGAGATGGAGTTTCAAACTCCTAACCTCCAAGGAGAGGCTTGGTTTCATCCTCTCCAAATCATTTTTATTTGTTTTCTTGGCAGTCCACGATGTGTTCAAGACTCTTCTCCAGCACCATAACTCAAAGACACGGATTCTTCTGTCATCCTTAGTCATTGTCCAGCTCTCTGATGCATAGCAATTAATTGCAAAGGCCATGGCCTGGATAAGGAGCACTTTAGTCTCTAGACTGACATCATTGCTTTTTAGCACTCTGGAGAGGTCTCTGACAGCAGATTTTACCCAATGCAATTTGTCTTTTGATTTCCTGACTGTTGGTGTTAAGAATGTTGATTGTGGAGCTGAACAGGCTGTATTTGTTAACAACCTCAATCTCTTCTCCATCTATCATGGTTCTGCCAGTTGGCCCAGTGGTGAGAATCTTTATCTTCTTGATGTTCAGCTTTCAATCCATATTAAAGACTATAGTCCTTGACCTTCTGTAGCAGATTTTCTTCCGTTTCAGC